AACTGAAAAATCTGCTCAGATTAAAGCCGTCGTCTCGACCTTCCATCGGCCGCTGCTCATCGTAATGCGATACCTTTTCGCCTTCCTCAACCAGTAAGAGCCACGGGATTTCAGCCGATCTCTATTAGAAATGCCAGAATCTGTGGCTACAAACAGTATTCTCTTGCTTTTCCCAGTGTGTCTCAATACAGCGATGAGAACATGATGCAGCCCTACAACCTGGCCGTCTGTTTTGGCCCCAGTCTCCTCAGAGGACTGGATTCAGACGACGCCGTGGCAAGGCAGCCGCAGGTCAATGACCTCGTCAAAACCATGATCCTCCAACATGACGTCATCTTCCCCAGCCAATCAGAGCTGCCGGGCCCAGTTTACGAAAAGCACATGACTCTGGAACAGGAATACTGGTGAGGAGAGAGGCAGTTATCCACACATGGCATCAATTGTGTGTGTCTCTATAGCAATTAAAAACATGTTTTTTCTATTTTTTCCATTAAGCCGGAACGGATTAATTTTCATAAGTTATTTCTTATGGGAAAAAATTATTCGAGATAACAGCACCTCGAGTTACAAGCTCAGTCCTGGAACGTATTTTTGTATATATTATATATATATATATATATATATATATGTGTATATGTGATATTGTATCTTGAGGTAACACTGTATATATATATGGATAGCCAAAACAACAATTAAGAGAAAATCAGGTTTATTTATGCAAAACAAAGATGTAGCGTGTTTGACGATGTCATTATTTTACATTTCTCCTCAGTGAACCAATCACAGAGGAGGGTGATGGAGAGACTGAGCATCTGCCTGGTGAAGATGGTAATGTTTTGCTGGCCTTGCTGACCTGGCTTTGACCTTTGACTATTGATGTACTGTACACTCAGAAATAAAAATATTATTTGTGTGTGCGTACAGAGTTGGAAGCAGTGGCCATGTTTGACTACACGGCCAGATCTCCAGCAGAACTCTCCTTGAAACAGGGCGACCTTCTAATCCTTCACAGCAAAGCCTCCTGTGATTGGTGGAGAGGAGAAGTGGGAGGAGTTAAGGGTCTCATCCCTCACAAGTACATCAGTGTCCTGGATGGGTGAGTTCTGTTACCCAGCTGTCAAATTCTGTGTTCAACCAAAGTCAGCTGTGGGCACATTTGACCTCAGAAGAATGTTTTTTTTCAAACGTACGATCCTCTAACATCAAGAGTGGGGAACAACTGAAATACATTTCAGTATTGTAGCTTTACAGTTTGCTCTAGTGGCTTCTGTTTTTTTGTTTTTTTTAGTGTTAAGTCAGGACCAACAACAAACAAGAACAGAACAAACTTCCTGAACACTGTGCACAACTGTCTGCTTGTTTAAATAAGGGCTGGAAACATTAGCATTTACAAAAAAAAAATCAGTGTTAAGTCAGGACCAACAACAAACAAGAACAGAACAAACTTCCTGAACACTGTGCACAACTGTCTGCTTGTTTAAATAAGGGCTGGAAACATTAGCATTTACAAAAAAAAAATCATCTATATCACTTATTAAATCACTTAAACTTTGTGAATTCTTAATTGCATTTAATGGTTTCGTTTCATTTTTTATTAGTGTTGATTATATTTGAATGATACTGTTTGAATACTAGTGATTTGAATTACCTCGTGTATAAATGTTTTTTCCTCCCTCAGGTCAGAGCGAGGGAAAAGAGAAGAGTCAGGAGGAGGAGGCAGCACTGGAAACCTGACTGTAGATGATGCACAGACAGAAAACACAACTAGGTACAATCACACGCACACACACACCATACAACACGCTTTGTCAGAACAAAGACCTTAAGTTCAGAACCACGGATGACAGTGGAAAAACACTGGCGCGTCTCTGTCTGTCTGCAGGATGAGAGTTAACAGTGACAGTGCTTCACTGCCTGGGCGACAGAGAGGAAGTGAAGGGAGTCCCAGTCAGAAACCAACGACGTCCCCCATCATACGACAGCTGCCAGTGCCGGTGTACGACTGCGATTTATTCATGAAACGATTACAACCGACAGAAGAATTTGAACATGTTTAACTTCAAAATGGTCATAAAGATGTTTTATAAAATATATGGTAATATAAATATATAACATAGTATGATATAATATAAAATGGTCAAATGTAGCTAAAAAGATAGCGTATCAAGAATATCAATACATTGGACTGAATGATATAAAAATAATATATATAATATAAAGCTTGAATTTAGCTCAAGAGTAGCAAAGAAGCTTTGCTGTAGGTATATAAAAAAATAGATTCATGTTAGCAAAGAGCATGGTTAAAATTGTTTTAAAAGTAGTTGAAATATTAATGATCATAATAATAGTGATTATTCATTAAAAATATTAAGTTGTTTTAAATAAAACATCCAGACTTTTCCATAAAAAACCTACCAGTGAATAAAACTAAAATTGACCTCAAAATGTTAGTCCAGGTACCAGCTAAACGTCCATCTCAATTTAAATCAAGAAAATATTAGGTGGGAGCATAGTAGATAAGAGTTAAAAAAATTAGCAAATAATGTGAAATATTTGAGAAAAAAAATCTTTTGTACTTTTGCTGTTTTCGGTGTCTGTTCAGCTCCTGTAACCGTGTCCCTGTGTCTGCAGGTCTCAGGAGAGAAGACACACACTGGAAACCATTCGAGGAGGTTTCAGATCCATGGACAGAACGGCTTTGTCTCAGACTGACAGACCAACGGTTGACAAGGTAAGAAGGTTCTCCCACACAAAACATGTTTATTTTTTTCCACAGAATAAAGCTCTAGGAATAGGAATGGTGACTGGAATTGAAAGTCTGGATAACGGGCTTGTTGTGGCCCACGGTCCAGTTCTTCTCATTTTCCAGTCGTCTCAGTAGGAAACTTGACCTACCCCTGTGAAATAAACGTCAGTGGTATGTCAAATTATTTTTGGCCAATATTTTGATATACAACAGGTATCATTTATCTCTACGCCCGAATGTACTCTACATGCATCTGCCTTCCGCAGCCATTTTTTCTCTCACTTTTCAACCGATGCCACAACGATTTGATACGATACCGGTTCGAGTGATTTATTTTAACCCAGTAAAACACATGAGAAATACTGGCCATATACTGTTACAACTTTGATATGATTTTTTTATTAGACAGTAGCCATAACAAATGACATCACTTTACTTTTACACAGTGTGCCCTAAATAGTTGAACTGCTACCATTAAGGGACACAGACACAGTTATATTTTCTCTTGACTTAACTGTTACATGTATTAACATAGTTTTAGTATTTGGCTTTGTATGTACAGTTGTGTAGAACATTTTGGTCCGTGATGATGTTCTACGTGAAGAGCCCTTGGAGTCAGCGTTGTCTCTCTGTCACCCCCTGTAGGAGATGATCAATCGCCAGATGAACTCTGTCTTCAAAGAACTCCTGTCTCGTCAGCCGCCCGTCCAGGCGGCTGTCGTCTCCACTCCTGCTGTCCTCCCTGCTCCCCCCTC